TATATGCTCTGGGTCCTGAGCAAAGCTGCGTTTGTCTTAGTTTCTGCACTCTCAACTTGATCTATGGAGCTGTACGCACTGAGATGATGCTGATATAGCTACACGCCTATGCTAGGAGTGCTTATTCTAGTAATCGTGCTTAATAAGGTCAGTACTTAGTATACTATAAGTATTGCCTGTGTATGCTTTTTAAGGAGTCACACCCAATATGTACTCCCAATCTGTGTGATGTAATAATGATTAGCATTTGGATAATAATAGTGTTTGTAGGGTAGTGCACAAGTCCTGCCATGCCCTTTTGTCGAGCAGTTTGCCGTCTATAGACTACATTTAGGCCTAATACGGCGTACATCTGTAGCAGTATGATAATACAGTATAAGGTAGGTATAGTGGGACAGTCTAAGTCAGTGTAACAGGAATAGGGCAATTAGTAATAATGGTGATATTACAACATCAAAATTGTCCTCGTTTTCAGCCCTCTCAACTCTATCCATCAGGCTGTGTCATCTTATTGGTTAACGAGACATTATTGAGTAGTATCGCAAGTTGTGTTATGTCCCATGGTGTTACAGAAGCCTTTTGCGCTGGTAATATATCACTATTTACAGTCACTCACCCATAGTAGGTGTCTAGCCAGAATTTAGTAAGAGAGGACTGGTACTGCTACCACCAATACTGCTACTTTTAATATTACTTACTAGGGTGTAGCAGAGTGATAGTATTTGCTGGTATTGTTACCGACTGTTTAACAAGTCAGAAGAGACGCTGATTACAGTCCGCACTGGGCTCATACTATCTCAAGCTCGGCAAGAAATGTAGTAGTACTGGTGTTGGCACTGACGCCAACGCTAGGGCTCGTATTCCCTTGGTGTCAATAAGGAGTGTGAATCTGGGTTTAAAGTATTTCGAGTAAGTAAATGCTTGGGTAATGTGCATAGCAGTGCTCGCCTTGGCTTCCGCACTCTCAACTCTACCCATCGAGCTATATACTTTTCAACGAGGTAAAGACTAAACGAGCTGCATCCATAGGTTCGTACTTGTGGTAATCACGCTAGATTCTAGTTATCATGCTTACCTAAGCCAGTAAATAGTATGCTTTATATACTGTCAATGTGTGCGTTTTAAGAAGTTGCACCCAGAATGCGCTCCCAATCTGTGTGAGGTAATGGGGATTAGCATTTGGATAATAATAGAGCGTTTGTAAAGTAATACACAAGTCTTACCATGCCCTTATGCTGAGCAGTTTGCCGTCCATAGACTACATTTAGGCCTAATACAGTATCTATCTGTAGTAGTCAAGTTATAAAGGGAAATATAGGCAAACGCCTTTGAACTCC